GTTAGCTTCCACACATACACACGCGCACAGTGAAAAACCATAGCGTGCACAGGAGGCGAAGCAAAGCAGTGTGGTGTAGAGTTTGAGCAGCCGTGTGTGAGATCGAAGTCCTGATGTCTCCCAAGGATGGGGTGAAATGGCACAATAATCAAGAGAGCAGGCGGGAGGGAACCCAAGGGAAGCTCAGCCTTCACACACAGTCGTCATGAGAATATCTAGCGCCTCTACTCCCCTAAAAACACCTCTGCTTTATATGACAGCTGTGAACATAAAAACAGAGCCATAAACAAAAACAATTACTCTGGCGACTGCAATTCAACATTTATTAACCTCCGTGAGGAGGAAATGAACCGGATGTCACTCCTGACACAGTACAGCATACGGTATTCAAATGTAATGGCCACTGTTCCTGCAATAACACTTCAGTCATAAAATTTGTATTCAGTTAAACAAAATAATGTTGATGCTTTGCAACATCTCTGCAATGTAACAGAGAAGATCAGAATTCTATAGCCCATGCAGAAGTGAAACAATCAACAAATAGAAATTTGTGAAGTGTGGGTGCTTCTAACTGACAAATAGTGTTGTAGTTAGGTGGATAAAACATGTCTCCCAGTCAATATGTGCCCTGCAGCATGGATCTAACACATAGGAACTACCACAAGGTTCATTTCTTACTAAATGGATAGTGCATGCCAACAAGCAGACAGCATTGCCAGCCCTAAAGGAAAATCAGCAACAGGATGTGAAATTCCAGGCCATGGGAACCCAGAACAGCTCTGAATACATTCCTTAATCTCTGCTGATGGTTTCAAAGTAATCCAGAATCTAATTTCTTTTCAACTTTGAGCTTTTACGAAATGTGGGGGAAAAAAGCATCTGTCTACTTCTCATTTCTTTATAGTTGCATCACAATCTCCAATTTAAAAAAGAAAAAAGATCTTTCACTGCTCCAGATGATAGTTACTGATCAGACCCATTCAGTTCACTTTCCTCCAATATCATCCAGTTTTAAGTCTGGTTATTCCCTATTTTAAATGAGGAAAACTATGTATTTTGTAAGTATAACATTTACCTTGAACGCTAGTTTCAGAGAACCCTTAGAGTTTGTGTCTTGGATGCTGCATGATTATAAGTTTGGCAGGCAATTTAAGATAACCATGAAGTTAAATGCTGCAGGGTCTGAGAGAAAGGCGGCCAAAACCCTCAGCATGCTATTTCTCCATAGGAGCTGTGGCCCCTGATACCGCTGAGCCCTGGAGTGGTGCCAGGGGTGTGATTTGAAGAATTCCTTTGGTTTTTGTGGCACTGGAAATGCCCCCTTACAGGAAATGTGACATGAGCTGCCAAGGGCAAAGCTCAGAATCAGGCAGCTATAGCTTATGTGAAGGAGCTCTACAGCTGGCCACTGTCAGTGAACACAACCCTCCTCACTTGCTACAAGACTTGTTGTACGTCATGGTGCTTTTGAAGAGAGGGTGAGCTCGGTGCAGCAAGCACTCATACAGCAATTAAGAAGTAGGGGAAAAAACTACATTTGTGATGTTGTAAGCCTCCAGCCTGGAGACACAGTGGTTGTCGTCTCAGCCTGTTGTATGCCAGACTGCCATGCTCACCAACATCCTCCCCCCTCTAACGGCTTAATCTGGCCTCCCCCACTGCCAGTGAGCGCAGATACCTCATTAATGCCCAATCGTCCAGCTCCTGGACTGGGGGGGGACCATGTTTGAATTTTGCAAAGCAATTTGTATATGTAATGTGCCAATTGAGACATAATCACCAAAATCCTGTTCAGTAATTAAAGCAAACTTAAACTGCACTCATTTAACATTGTTTCACAGGAAGACACAAGCAGGCTGATCTGGCCATTCATTTTAAAAATGTTCCTTTTACATGTTTACGTTGATTATTTGTGTTTTGGACACTTCCTGGAACAAATTCCACAACTCCGGTGTCATTCCTGTATTTCAAGTTTTGCCTGTTGTCTGCACAGAGACAACAGGCATGGGGGCTCCCTGGGGTTCACTAACTCCCCTACCTCCTCCCCTTCCCTGAACAAAGCCTCGCCAGTTACGAGCATGACCCAGTAACCTGGCTAGTAGCCTAGGGGAAGAGCATTCCCTGCCTCCAGCGCCCGTGTGAGCACACAGCGCCAGTATTTGTGTACAGAGCAAAGTCACTTTCATCAATGCGATTGGCTCTTGTGGGGATTAGAACAGCTCCTGTTAGACAGGACTGATTGTGTGATAAATGTGTAGTAGCCTTGCAGGGGGAGGGGGGTATCTATACATATCCAATCCAGGATATTTGACACAACACAGTATAACTGAGCAAATTAATGGCACCTTTCCCTCAGAACTTGTGCTCTGTTATATTAACAGCAGCTATATTCTCAATGTATCTTTTACTGGTGATGTTTTTAAAAAATAAAAGACACGACTTTTGGAAAGTCGAAGAGAGATGACATCTTTTGCCTAACTGCTGCCTAACTGGGTGTGATTGACTTAAGAATGACATAGGATGCGCAGAAGAACTGTCGCAAGTGCGCTTCACAGCCAATCACAGCCAAGACCCAGTTAGGCACTTGTGGTGTAACAGGAAGTGTATGCACAACAACTTACCCCCTGGCTTCCCTTGAAGCAGATTGCTGGCTGATTTGATAGTGATGCCTGAGAAGAGAGAAAGAAGAGAGAGAGAGATAAAGAAGCAAGTGGACACTGACTGAGGAATCCTGTTCATGTTGAATCTGGGAGACAGCTATGCTACATATGTTATTAGTGAAAATATATTGCCATTGTTCCAAATCTGCTCAGTTGACTTCCCTAGATAACAGCAGTCTGGCTTAACAAGACCAGGCTTAATAACATTGTTCATGAAATGCCAAATAACTGCCGTAATCGCTGTTTCTCATCAAGTGTTGTCCTGAAGAACCACTGTCGTATTTTTGTATTATGAAGTCAACAGTTCAAGGGTTTCTTGCCCTAATCTGTAGAGGAATGTGAATGAATTGATTGAAAGCCTGAAGAAAACTTTGTTCATGTCAGTCAGTTTGCTGAGCATGTTTGTGTTTATGTTTCAGCTGATTTCTAAATGAAAAGCCCAGAGGAAAGACAAAAACCAATTAACCTATATTTATATATATTTTTTTAAAGGCACGCTCTAAAAGCCTTCCACACTGACCATGTTATGAACATCATATTTTTCCTTCCCCCCTACTGCTAAAGAAATATTAAAATCATAAAAAATGTCTGCCTTTGAGACAGGATGGTACTTGGAGACTATTACTATCTATGAAGTACAGCTGTGCCTGTGACAGTGCTCTTAATTTATTATTAATGGTTTTGGGAAATGTCTTCCCTGCCAGGGAGTGTTGTTGTGATTTCCTTTATTGGCCATTAGCATTTAATATTGGATGGAATAATAGACATTACAGCATGTGTTTGTTACAATATTAGCCGTAAGGCTAAATCAGGCTTGGGACAAGGTCCAGTTTGGTTGGCCTACCTTCAAGGGGGTTGATCATCAACTTATTTTGTATATAATCATTTAAAATATAGCAATAATATTTACACTACAGTCGAAACAATTAGCTGAATAATTAGTACCACCCCCTTGATGAAGGCTTTATAAACTGTAACAGATGCTTAAAATATGAATAAATCATTAATACTTGATTGGTGATCAGCCATTAATAAGGATTTCACTTTTGGGATTTCCAGGTTGTAAAAAAATCCCTTTGCTGTAATCAGTCTATCAATAACTTATTTATAATGATGGTTTATTGTTAAGTGAGAAACCCATGAGTGTTTGTTGCTGTATTGCCAGCATTCAGACATGGCAGAGAAAACACAAAGATTTTTTTAGTTTTTTTACCCAAAGGTAGTCATTCATGACCTGTAACTGACAGCGTTAGTAAATTAACCATTTGTAAAGCCATTAGTTACAATTAATGAGCCCCTTATTAATAGTGCCTTACTAGAAAACTGTAGCTATGATTAGTCCATCAACACAAAACAAATGCAAGTTACTTTTTTAGGCAAAATGCCAAAAATTCACCGGTGTCAACTTTTCAGATGTGATTTTTTTTTTTTTATTGGTTTCCTTAGACATTATGTGGGTCTTAAACTGTTGGTTGCACAAACGTCCACTTTGGTACTCATAAACTATGACGGCCTTTGGCTTGGAAAACGTCTGCAGGAGCCACTCCTGTTCGTCTGCTTTGGCTTGGAGGAAGCTGTCAGGCGTGAGCTCTGGAGTTTACCCTGCTTCACAGGCCAGTGAGCTCCGGAGCTGGACTGGCTTCCCGGCGCGTAAAGGGCAAAAACAAAAACAATAATTCCAAGAGCTCAACCACAACTTGCCGAGCCCGGTGCGGGCTACAGAGTTGAACCACCGACCTCCACTTCCAGGTCTGGCTTGATTATGGACTGTGGCGCATATGCAGATGATTTCATCTGACGACTCATAAAAAACCCCTCTCTACTACAGTCATCATACCTGTGGGATAACGGGCTTATCAGGCATTGCTCTGGGAAAGACCACTTGGATAGACTATACCATAAAAACAATAACAGTCTCCCAATTCAGAGGAGCTTGTTCATTAATTTATTAATTCAAAAAAAAAAGGGGGGGGAGGGAGGGGGGGGGGCATTTTAACATTTAATGACTGATGATCATCATCCGTGTTCGCCGTTAATAATGGATTTCAAATGTAATGCATGTAACTTATAGAATTCATCAGGCTTTTAAAAAGCTTGGGACGTAATCACAAACCTCTGTCATGTGGGATTTTCATGGGCGATTTGGGTTTTTACGCTTTAGTAAACAAGCAGACGTGCACAATATAAAATAGCCCAAGCTTCTCCTTTTCTACTCAGAAATCTTAACGAGAGCTTATAGGGGAATTTAATGCGATCCCTTTATTCCCCGACGTCTGCTGAATTGCCTGTTATGACCAGAACAGATCAAGTTTTAGCCTGCCTTCTGACAGAGCCAGAATAAACCAGCGCAGTCTACACTTATCAGCCACCAGCGCAGCTGTCGGTGACACTTGCGCAGTTCACAGTCTACAAAAGTATTTAAACGTTACTTTTTTCTACTAATAAAATGCGCAAACTGCGTTTCCAGAAAGGATCGTACAGTTCTTGGAGTTGGGAGGCGATTGAGGAAAAAAGAAAATACAGATTTCAGTAAAAGCACAGGCAAGCTCCAAAGTTGAATCCAGTCATTTGTCTTACCTTCAGGTTCTGGTAGGCTTCCAGGGTCCGGATGGCGGTGTCAGTGAGTTTGACGTGATAAAGAGTTGGATTCGGGGTGTTTTTGTTGATTTTGCCACAGGAGAGCCCATACCGATGCTCCTGTCTCAGCGCTGCCATTGCTACAACTGAAGACCATTGGTGACACTCAACCTGAAACGTCACGGAGGAGAGAGTACGGGGGCGTGGCTAACACCCACGCACATGTGCGCGCATACACGCACAGACACGCGTACACAATCTCTTTAAATACGCTATAAAGAAACTACAGTATTTTACTTTCGCTTTCCTGCGCACACAGGTGGACACTTGTGCCATAACCTGTATTTATCTTGTCTTTGATCTTCTGGGTTTGGTCCAAGTTGCTGGGTTTTGGTAAATGCACTCTATGTATTTTTGCAGCACAAACAGGAGGAAGTATAAATATACAGTGGTGAGTGAAAATAGATGACATTCTGGTAACAGCATTTATATTTGTTTACACAGTGCAGAGAAACCTTATGAAGAAGCTGCAATCAAATCTAAATTTAAAAAGGAAAAAAAAAACCCTAAGAAAAACTATTTACTATGATAGTCTGAAGTATTTTCATGATTTAAAGTACAATTTCTGTATATATTCCAGCACACAAAACTCAGTCTTCAGAATTTTGTTCAAGAATAGAATTATAATCAGTGAAATGAACTTAAAGTATCACAACTTAAAAGTACTTAGAATGGTCCCTTTCAGAATATTATATTATTATTATTGGGACAACAACTGGCTAGTACTTTAATCAGCAATTTAATGATTATTTCCCCAATTAACTGTTCAATCACTATGTAAATTGTCAGAAAACAGTAAAAATGCATATCCCATTACAATTTCCCCAGAGCCAAAAATGAAATATTGAATGTCTTATTTTATCCAATTAGCAGGCTAAAACACAAATATATTCATGTGGATTATCAAATAAGACTAAGAAATGCAGCAAATGCCCCAAAGATCTTCACAGAGAAGTTAAATCCAGTGAGTCTTTCACATTTTTTTTCTTAAAATGTGACTAAAATGACTGTATCAAAGTAGAAGCTGATTATTTTGTGATCAACTAATCATTTCAGATCAAATTATTATATAACATGTAGCACTGGACTAATATTACGGACACTTTTAATGAAGCTTGTTGAACTGATTTGAACTAGTTTCTACACTGTTGGGTAGAAGATATTTCAAAAATATATTGCAGCATAGTAGAAAATCTCATCATTTCTCAGTATGTCAGAGAAACTAAAAGGCAGATTTGGAATTTGGATTAATTTAATCCCTGAGGGGCAAACTGCTTTAGGCTGTGGATAAAACAGAAGCTCCTCAGTAAAGAAAGCAGGGTTTATTTTCAATATGGCTGGGGGATGTTGATGTCTAAGTATTTTGTAGTGGTCTCTCTTGTGTCCTTTACCTGCAGTGTTGATGTTTTCTTTATGAACTGTACATTTTCTCTCATGATTGGAAATAAGAAGTGCTGAATAACTCGGAAGTGGTGCCTCAGTGTAACAACTGCAAAACATTATCATCTGCTGAGATTATTAGTTTCAATCAATTTTATCTTGGCCCCTTTCACATTATATCTCCCTCTGTGAATAAGTGGATGTTCTTATGTAACGTAACCTTTAGATGAATTTGACAGTGTTTTATTAAGGTAAAGATAGATATGAGAAGATAGAAGAATGAAGGCACAACACACCATATAAAATAAACTTCAGTATTCAGAAAATTCCTAGCAAAATATTAAACGACTTATGTATACTTTAAAGCTACCAAGTTTCCCTGCTACCTGACAACCTGCAAACTTAAGTTAAGAGCTTTAATCTGTTTAAACATTGCATTCTTTCCAGTTTTTAAGAATTACTGTAAACAAAACAAAATGAATTTTGCAAATAATATAAAATACTGTATATATCCTCATCAGATTTTCACTACAAACACATCATATGTAATTTGTAATCCAGTGTCAGTTTTACAGCCTACACTGTTCATCAGTGTTGTGGCACTTACTAAAAGTTGAAAAGAAAGGCCTCCCTACATAACTCGAAGCAAATTATATTTCCTGTGATCTTACTAATAATAAACTGTATTCATGGACACTGCGTTATGGGAGACGCCAGTGAAGTCATTAAGAAGCTTACAGACGTTCTGACAGATTAGGTTTTTCTCTTTTAGTCCTGCAGATTACCACTGCACAAGGCTGCTAGCTGAGACTGCTTCACTGTGCTGCAATTTCTTTATTGATCTTTCTTTTTTTTATTATTATTATTGCTGCCACATCACTGGACTCCAAAGACTAAGAGAGGAGATCACACACTGCAATATAACTGCAGAAGCTACACAGCTGCAAGTTGGACATAGCTTTTAAAACCCTTATATCAGGAATTATGAATTAATTCTGAGTTGGATTAATGAAACACTATTATAGAGATTTGGTGTAGGTGGCAGCAGAACAGCTAACTTGCATCTAAGTGGAACATTGACTCAGCAAGGAGAATCATTACTAATGCAGATAAGGTCCGTTGGTTTCGGTAGGTAAATGGAAACAGAGCCAGCTTGTGAAAAACATGAAGACCCTGCTGTGGAGCCTACAGAATGTGAAGTAAGAGAGGCCATTTCTGCACTTGCCCACAGGGAGCGTCACACCGAGCATCCCTGTGGGCTTGCAGAGGAAGGCGACAAGCTGAAAAGGAAAGAGCAGGTTGAAACACAGAGCTGCACAGGAGAGAGTAAAAGTGTTAACATGAAAAGGCCCTCTGATCTTGAGCAAGAAGGCAGAGAGACGGAATGCAAAAATTGGAGGAAACTAAAAAAAACAAACAGCTGGAAGATGGTACGATTTCAAGACCCCTCAGCAGACAGTGGTGTGTTGGAGAGGGACACCTCAGCAGAGAGTCTTTTTCCGGAATATGTGACGGAGGAGTGGACTTCATCAGTGTTTGAGGAGTTGTTCATGGCAGAAGACTGGCATGACATTACAGGTCAGAACACATTTGTGAATGTGGAGACGTGTAAGAATTGGTATTAGAAGGTAAACTTGCAAAAATATCTATCCTTATCAATAAATAGTGCTTTTATTTTAATTAACTTTGACTGCCACATTTATTTTTGATTTGAAACCAGAGCAGAAGAAAACCAAAATGTGACTCAGATCAAGCTTGGTGTGTTTGTAGCTGTTTCTGAGCGTGTGTATACCAAGAACTAGCAGATTAACCCTCTTCCTTCTACATGACCTTCTCTTCTTTCCTCACACAGAGGACAGGCTGTTGAGGAAGAATGTGCTGAAGCCTGGAGATCTGAACGCACTGTGCCCCACCTGGGGACAGGAGGTTACTGTGAAGATGCAGTGTGTCCTGGAGGACCGCACTGTGGTGGAGAAGGACAGCAAGCTTGTCTTTGTTATTGGAGAGGGAGATGTAAACCAGGTGAAAGCTTTTGTGTACTCAATGTGTACAAGTTAATGGACTTAGTTCAAACTAACTCACTACTGTTAATGGAGTGCCCCATGGTTCGGTGCTTGGCCTGCTTTAATATTCTCCTTATATAAACAACATTGGCGTTGATAATGATGGAACTCATACTCCTTGCTATGCAGATGATACAGTTTTATATACCTGTGCATTCTTGCTCAGTCACTCACTAAATTGCAGTCTGTGTCAAATATTGTACTATTTTGGCTTACTGAACTGTAGCTTCTACTGAATGCATACAAAACCAGGGTAAGGTCTTGGATGTTATGAATATCTTGGACTATGGTTTGATTAATTTCTCTCTTTTAATTAACATGCTGAAAAACTTAGACTGACCTCGGGGTTTTACCTTGGACACAAGTCTTGTTTTTCTTTGGAAGCCAGGAAAAGGCTGGTGGCTGCCACCTTCATACAGATTTTTGACTACAGTGACTTGTTATGTATGAACTCACCAGCACAATGTAATTTTACCACAGTGCATTAAGAGCTGTTACCAACTTAAAAACCATTTACCCAGCACTGTGCTTTACACATCAGTTGGTTAGTCATCTCTCTCTCTCTGTGCCTTTTGAGTCATTGGAATATTTTTATTTACAAATTCATTTTAGACAAACTTCCCCCATACCCTTTGCAAACTTATTTCACTGAGCTCATCTTCAAGATGCACGTGTGTTGTCTGTCCCCATGTGTTTGGACAGAGATGGGAAAGGACAGACCATATTACCTAGAGTCGTGCAGCTGTTGTAGTTAAGAAGCAGGTCCACATAATTAAAACTTGAAATCCATTTTCAAATGGTTATCAATTAAGAACATTGTAATGCACAACACAAAGTTATCCTTAGATGTGTTTTGGGTAATTATTCAGAAAGGTGAAGATAAAAAAAAAAAAAAAAGTGTCAGTCCTTTTATATAAAATGTTTTTTGACACCTGTAGGCCCTGGAGGAGTGTGTCATGTCCATGCAGGAAGGCGAGCTCACATTACTGCTGACACATTCACAATATGCCTATGGACATCTGGGAAGGTAAGGATTTTCCAGCTATTGTTGTTTAATGATAAACGACAGAATTAAAGAGCATGTTGAAGCAGTGATAAAACTTTTCCAGGCCATTTTTACCTGCTGCTGTAGGGGCAGCCTGTTTTTCCAGAGGTAGCAGGGTTAACGAACCATAAACAGGAGCAGATGGCTTCCTCCAGACACCATTCAGAGGCGGCCTATCAATGGTGTATTTGTAACCTCCCAACCTATTTGGAGGGCACCGCTCATATTACGGCCAGCGGCTTAGGTTTATAGCCTTTACAGCATTAAAAGAGCCAGTATAAACACAGAGGAGATTTGTGCGTCAGTGACGAATACCCGTTGCTTAAGGTTTTAATATTTACTTTAGATAACCTGAACACGTGACAGTGAGACATTAATGCACATTGGTGATTTGATGAAATTGTGTATAATAATATATTGCTGAAAACATTTGAGGAAAAAGCCTTCTTATTATATTGTTTTCTATATTTTAATATATTAAACCAAATACCTCAATGCACTCAATTATCATGTGGCAGTAAAAGCTTTAAAAAGGTGCTGGATTCAGGGATAAATTTGTGACCCAAAATCATTTTTAACATAGTAAAACAACACAAAAAAACCACAGTACATCTGAACATTGCTGACAACATACTGTTCAAATGTACTACACAGTGTAACATGAAACCATGTTTTTCCATTGTGTGTATGATACTGTTTTAGCCTCTTCTGTGTTAAGGGTGTGAGGTCCTTTTTGTGTTGTGTAGCTCTGAATTGGGGAATGATGGGACATGGGGTGTGAGTGAGGAGCGTCTGAGGTGTCGCCTGTAGTCTCGCTCTCTGTCTCTGTCATCTGTGGCGAAGGAGGCAGAAAAAAAGTGGGATACAGTGGGAGGTTAGTTAATGATTGTTTTGATGCTGCTGATTAGGGTTGTGTGCTGTAGGGCCAAATTTAGCTGTACCATAGGGTAGACAATCAGGGATTTAAGCCAACGCTTTAAATATGGTTCACTTACTGAGGTTACTCGTTGCCAGTCACTGAAATTAAATGTTAATGATTTGGTCTGAAAATCAAAAGGTATGTAATGAAACAACACATTGCAAATTTAACTAAAGCCACTCAAGTTAATCTGTTAAACAAACCATACATTGATTGAAAATTCTTCTCTTCAAAGAGCAGACCCTGCCTATCGGCACCTGTAATGAACATGTTTTGCTTCTTTAATTTCTACAAAAAATTAAGTGTAAAAACTACAATTTGTCATTTTACAAGGGGTTTTGTGTTCTGCGCTGTTGCCAGACATAAAGTAGAGATTGTAGGAAGTTACTGGACCCAACCAAGAAATTTTGGTACATTAATTATACATTTACATTGTTGCACAGATTTACCAAATTGAATCATTATTATTATTTTTGCAAGTAGGTGAATTTTGTTACATCTGGACAATGCCAAGTTAGCTGGGTCCCCATTTTTTTGTCTTTATGCTAAGCTAAGCTAACTGGCTGCAGGAGGTAGCTCTGTATTTTATGTACAGATATGTAAGATGTATCATTCTTCTCATGCACATCTCATCAAATGTCAAGATATTTCTGAACTTTTTCCTTATCATTTATGGCATGTTGGTCTGTATTATCTTTCTTGTTGAGGTTTATTACAGAAGTAATTAGTATCAAAACATATTTGGCATATAAGTGGATAAAAATAAGAATCACAAGCAGTGACTGACATGTTTCATAGTAGATTTGACAGGTTCAGCGTGTCTGTGATGTGACGTGACAGAGAAAAAGTGAGGGGAAATCTCATTAGCCCCTCTGTTTTCTGGCAGATGCGTTGATTGAACAGTCACCTGGTGCAAACAGTGCTGTGAAGAGTACTTCACAGGTATTTATCAGAACAGTGTGCAAAGCTGGTCACATAGTATCATTGTGGTCTGTAGCTTGGTGTGCAGATGGCTGGCTGCAGCATGTGATGTGATCAGAGCCACAACTCCACAGGAAGGTTAATGTGAGGACAGTGAAACCAGTAGAAAAGTCTGGAGCACTTATCTGATTGATTACAACAGACAGGCTGGTCAGAATTAAATCGGTTGTAAGAAACACTGATGTTTTTCCTGTGAGACATTAAAGCCTCTGAGCCTTTGAAAGATGATATGTGATGAAAGACCTCATCACGTTCGCTTTTTCAAGGAATAGCATGCATCAACTGTTCCCCACTGAGACATATTACTCAGTGACACAGACTGCATCCCCACAGTCAGCAGGTAATTATTAGAGAGCAGTGGAAGCTAACATCTGTTTATCTCTGGAAAGGCACAAGTTTAACACTTATAAACCCTCCGGAGGCCACGGGGAGTATGCCTCATCAACCATGTCATTAAATATCACTAGCATCTGCATTTTTTTTTTTTTTTGTCTGAATTAAATGAAACTTGGACAGGTTCCATTATATACATATTACGTATATATGTATTTCTCGTTATATGTGAACCACACAACTAGTTTAAAGACTTCTTCAGTCTGAAGTGGTGCACTGGTTGCATTGGTCAGCTGTCAAACATACACAGAAGCTTATGTCCCAGTGCTGGCAGTGAAGGTGTTTGCATACTTTTGCCCTTGGCACATCTGACAACTACCTTAGTTGCACATGTTGAAGTGGAGTTAATTAGACCACTGGGATGTGTCACAGTTAAAATAATAGTTTAATCTGAGTCCAGATGGACAGTGTCAGCCAGTTAATCATTCTACTGTTACATCAATGTCAGGTGGGAATTGTGTGCTATTTATGATAAATACAACATTTAATGTATTTTTAAAATAATTTCTAAACAAGACTTACAGTTGAAGTTAAACCTGCTGAAACATAGTGAAAAAGGTCTATCAGAAACAAAAATGTAATCAGTTATCACTGTAGGCTAAGCAATAAAAGGCCTAACCCCTATTTGAAAAGCATAAACACATGTATACTTTTTAAAGTAAACTATCTGCAGAAAGTGCTACAATTAAAAAGCCCAGCCCTTTTAAGGCTGTAGGACAATTAACAGACTATATTAGGAAGATTTAAGGGGCCTGTTGTTAATACTGGAGTGTCAGGGACTGAACAGTAAGGCAGAGGACACAGCACTTACCTAAAAATAAGGATAAAATACAAACACCTATCAAACGGGGACCTAAAAGAGATCAACAAAAGAAAAGGCAACTTAAAATACAGCAAACTAAACTGATCAGTACCTCAAACAACAATGGAAAAAAAAAAAGATACAAATGACACAAATGAGGAACATACATAAACATTGAACAAAGTCTGCTGACAAAATATTTTTTAGCGGTAAAAAAAACATAACTTGACAAATAAGGTTTTAACATAAACAACAAAGAAACAATATATTTCTCCCAAACTCCCCCTTTCTTGTATTGGGCACTTGGTACAGTCCAGGCCTAGTGGGAGGCATTTAAACCTGCTGCTGCCTCAGTCCAATCTGTTTGTCGGAACCACCCCCATCCATGCACCAGGAAATGGTAACTGAAAATGAAAATTTGCACACATTAGCAATGTTTTGACAATACGAAATTAACCAAATGTGCATGTTTCATTTATTAATTGTGTATGTCTAAACCTAATGTCAAATCAAATCCCTAAACTCTACCTACAACTTAAATCTACACGTGAACAAAGAAAACAACAGAACATTAGTTAATTCTAGTGTTGGTGGTGGCTTAGGCCCTCACATGGCGAAGACCTGGGCTGAGACCTTCACAGGGAGTAAGTAGATCTGTAACATTAGCATATGTAATGCAGGTTGTTGAACACAAGTGGTAGGAACTTAAACTTTATTTGAGAGTGCACCAGGCAAGACTACCACATTGTGACATACAGCATATTTTGTATTATTAATTATTTTTAGTTGTACTGTTTGGATGTCTCCCATTTTGGTACTGTCTTTTGTTTTTGCACTTTACAGTTCCTTTATTTATTTACAGCTGTTGAACAAGCAGAACACAGACCTGCAAAAATGTGACGTCACTGCTTTGCCTGCGATCCACTCACTGAGATCCTCGTTTTACCTCTAAAGCAGTGCTGAAATTTAGCTCCCAGAAAGAACACACCTTCAAAGCAGGCAGAGATCAGTGGAATCAAACACAGAACCCATGATGAGCGTTACTCGGCTTGACCCGTTTTCGGTTCTTATAATGGAAAAACCACTTAAGGGTCCCCGAACTGAAGCATGGGGTATTCTACGTGAAACAATACAGACAATAAATGACTAACAGTGACTCTGAACCAAGAGATGACCTGCACAGACTGAAATACAACATAGTAGTAGTAGTTACTCATGTACTAAACACATAGCCTTTAAAGGAACTGTAGAGACTCTATGGCAACACACCAGATGGCATTGTCATTTTCTGTGGGCAGAAAAACAAATCATTCCTACTGTGGGGGGAGAGAGGGGAATCTTCCTCTCTCTGACCTTGAGGGAAGTGGGACTGTAGGCTGCTAGAGCCATGATTACACTAGGCTTACTGATCTGGCTTTTTATAGGCAGGGTGGAGTGAGTTGAGTGAGGCTTCAGTTCATGGGAAAGTCCTGTAACATTTACCTTGATGATTGATGGTTACTGTGTAATATTCATCATCAGTTGTAAGCTGTGAACTATAATTTGATCTTGTGGTGTTTCCTTATTCTGTCAGAATGCCAGGCTGTCAAAGGTAAATGGTTGCCAGTGTTTGATGTTTCGAGTAGTGTAGGTGTAAATATGATGAGGTGGGTTCATGTGCTTTTCTTCATGACTTGGTTTATTCACAACACTATAAAATATTGGTAAAATACAACATAATTAAACCTTGTCAGGGATTGATTTATAAAGTCCTGAACTTTTTACATTGTTGTCCACTGAATCAAGATTGAGACAGGTATTTTGTATCTGATATTAAAAGGTAACTTCACAGATTTTACATTTCAGGTCTTCGGAGGTCTACTGCATACATGTAAAACTTATATAAAG